TCGACCACCAATATAAATAAAATAAAAAAAATAGACAGCTAAATAAAAGGTGATTTAATTCATCAGATTTAAATAAAATTATGAATTCTATGAGTTTGCCAAACTCAAACCACTTCATGCTGTGAAGTATATGTTTCATGAATGTGTAACCCTCTGGCCATCACGGCCCAATATGCCACTGAAGTGGCGGGATTCGATCGACGCAAGCCAATGGCGCTGCAAAAGAGTACGTGACTTCGTGAGCAAGCACTTCAGGTTGTGAAACTTCGTTTGTTCACTTCCCCACTTGGTCCTTCTACCTCCGGTACCAGTGTCCAAGTGACATTGGTAGCGGAGCCGCCGATCACAGGCGGCTCCCTGCCACTCCGCTACAACTATTTCATTGTTCCCTTCCACGCCCACCTCACTGACAACGGAAACTTCACCCACAACCTTGCTTCCCTCTTCATAGACAAGAGCAGTTCTCTCAACCGAGCTCTTTCTTGCTGACGAGCGCTACCTTGCTCATTGAAGAGCTCTATCTTGCTTGCTGTGGTTTCTGAGCGCTACCTCCCTGAGTATGTCCTCAGAAAAGAAGGCCGAACTTGACACCTTCTCGGCCAGAGACAGTTTCATCCCGCTGTTCGACGGCTCCTTGACTGGATATCGCGAATGGCGGAAGAGGATCTTGATCTACTACAAGAAAATGACCTTGTCGAAACGACAAGGAGAGGCCATCCTGAACCTACTGGGCAGTCTGTCCGGTGTTGCTTGGAAGTTGTGTGAGGACTTCAACCTGGACAAGGCCGAAGATTCCGGCGCCCTCGAAGAAATACTGAAGACACTCGATGCCTCGTTTCAGTACGACGCCAATGTAGAGATGCCGGCCGACTTTGCTTCGTACTTCGAGCACCTGTCCAGAAAACCAGGTCAAACACTCCTCAACTTCGTCACGGACCACGACGACCGCTTGAAGCAGATCGAGAAGCATGGAGTGAAGCTCCCAAGCCAGATTCAAGGCTGGTTTCTTCTGGCCAAAGCAGCACTCACCCGAGAACAACGACAGATGATCATGACCCAGGCTGCTTCCTTGGACCGTGCCAAGATCCAACAGGCGATGTTTGCTATCCTGGGCCAAGACTACAAGGGTGGAGGTCAGATGCTGCGAGACCGCTGGAACCGAGCTTCATCTGGAAAAGGCCGCTCCTACTACGCAGGTGATGATGATGAAGCAAACTATGAATGGGATGAAGCCTTCTACGAGGAGGATGATGCCTACTACCTGGATGACGATGGCAACTATGATGACACCTGGTGGGAGACCTTCGACTCTGACGCCGTCTACTACCAGGACGACGGCGATGAAGCTGAGCAAGAATTCGACACTGAAGAATTTGATGAAGCCTATGCCTCCTATGTTGATGCCCACAAGAGGTTCAATGACCTGAAGCTCAGCAGAGGATTCCTCCCTGTGGTTGCCCTCCAAGATTCTGCTGCCTCCTCAAGCTCGACGACCTCTCAGCAGAAGCCCTACAAGGGCATGGGAAAAGGGAGAAAAGGAAAAGGCAAGGGCAAGGGGAAAAGTTCCACCTACCGATTTGATCGCCCTCCTGCCAAACAACCTGATCCAAAAGGAAGAGCCAAATCAGCCTTGGCACCTGCTTGTATGAGACGCGGTTCGACATCACACAAGACCGCACAGTGCACTCAATCAGGAGCTCCAAAGCCTGCCACCACCTCCACTGGCAAGCGCCAAGCTGTTGAAGGCATGGCCATTCTTAGCGATGAGACCACCCTGGTGATGCTTGAAGATGCAGCTGGCCATGAACGACCTGATTGTGCAATGATTGACCCTGGCGCCTCGTCCTTCCTAATGGGATCAGGTCCCTTGATTCGATACATCCAGCACCTGAAGCAGTTGGGTTACGACACCTCGCAACTCAAGCTCCAGCGCTGCCAACGGACGTTCCACTTTCCACTTTGGCGGCGATCATCAAAAGGTCAGCACTTGGGCTGCAACAGTTCCGGTCTATCTGAACGGCACTCATGGCCTCCTTCAAGGATTTGTTCTGAAAGGTGAAACTCCCATGCTGATCGGCAGGCCCATCATCAAGGCCCTTGACATGTCGATCGACTTTGCTCGCCAGCAACTCCAGTTTGGTGACAACGACTGGCAAGCCGCCGTCCTTGGCCGCCATGAAGAATACTTGTTGGACCTCACCGCGACCTTTGAGACGGAACAGCTTGCATGGGAGCCTGCCTTCGACCTTCAGCTTGATGAGACCCTCGGTGAATATGGCACCTTTGAAGAATTCCTCACTGAAGAACACCTCTATCAGGTCGAAGAAGAGTTGCCACCCGAGGAGACAAGCCCTATGACGGCCAAGCACTGGAAAACCTTGGTCATGTTGACCCAAGCTCAGCTGAACACCACGAATGCCTTCGTTGACCAAACCCTGAAGGAAGAAGCCGCTCCACGACCTCGAGTACTCTGGGAAGTCTACACTGGCCGGGCCCGACTTTCGAAGATTGCAGAAGCAGTTGGCATGACCACCAAGACGTTCGGCTTCGAGACAAGATGGAACTTCGCGCTTCAGTCCCACCAACGCGCCTTCCTGAACCTCATGGATGAAGAGATGCCGGACGAAGTCTTTCTATCGCCTAGCTGCGGCCCTTGGTCCAGAATGCAGAACATCTCAGCCAACTCCCAGCAGAGACAAGAAATCCTCCGAGGCCTTCGTGAATGGCACCATCGAACTCATCTTCAATTTTGCAAGAAGGTGTACCTGAAGCAGCTCAACTCCGGAAGACATGGACACATCGAGCAACCCACTTCGGCTCTTTCTTGGGAAACTTCAGCATTGCAGTCGCTTCCTGGCCTCCGTGCTCGACATCATCAGTGTCAATATGGAGCAATTTGCATGGATGTCACCGGCACTTGGAAGCCTGCCAAGAAGGACACTACCATTCTGACCACCAAGCGTGCTGTTGCTGAGTCCATGTCTCGTCTTTGCCCAGGAGATCACGAGCATTGCCGCCTTGAAGGGCACATGAAAGGACATGGCACGCATCGCACTTCCTTCATGGAGGACTACCAGCCAGCATTTGCCGCGACCTTGGCAACTGCTCTTGCTAGCTCTGAGAGACCTCAGACTTGGGAGGATTCCTATGTCGTCCGGGAGCACACCAAGTACTTGGGAAAGATCGTTGACCTACATGCTGAAGGCAAGCAGAATGCCCTCAGAGTCATCCAGAAGCTCCATCGGAACCTTGGACATCCTTCAGCCCAAGCACTTACTAACCTCCTTCAAGCTAGAGGCGCCTCGAAAGATGTGTTGGCTGTGGCTGAAAACTACTTGCGCAGTTCATGTCTTCGATACAAGAAGCCGAACCAACCGGCTCCAGCTACGACCAACAAGGCCGAGCGCTTCAACCAGACAATCCAGGCTGATGTGTTCTGGGTTCGCACTGATAAGAAGAAGTGGCCCATCCTGGATTGCGCCACTAAGTACCAAGTCGCATGCCAGATCCAGTCAGAGCAGACGCAGGACTACATCCAGTCCCTTGAGCGACACTGGATTGCATACTTCGGCCCTCCAGAGGAGCTCATCACCGACGAAGGACGTGGCTGGTTGAGCAATGAGTTCATGAACTGGTCCGATGAGCATAGCATCAGCCACAACGTAGCTCCTGGCGAGGCTCATGAACGCCTTGGTCAAATGGAAAGGCGACACTCTGTCCTTCGCAAGGCCATTGAAGTGTACACGCACGACTTGCAGCTAGAAGGTCGAGATGGTATTCGACAAGCCCTGACCTACATCCTTCCTCAGATCAATGCTCAGCCGACTGTCGCTGGATTCTCTCCGACACAATGGGTCCTTGGATATCAACCAGCTCAACCCGGTCTCTTGCACTCCGGTTCCTGTGCACTACATGGTCATGAGGATTTTGAGAAGCACCTTCATCAACGCAATGTGGCAAAGACTGCAATCCTCCAGGCCGAGACCGACAGGAAACTGAGGCGCGCCCTCCTGAGGCGCTATGCAGGAGTCAATCAAAGGCTCCTGGCTGGCCAGCGATGCTTCTACTGGCGAGATGCTCAGCAACATGAACTCTGCAAGATTCGCTGGCGAGGACCTGCAAAAGTCGTTTGTGTCGAAGAAAAAGATGGCAGTCCTCATGTCTACTGGTTGGCGCACAAGACACAGTTGATTCGAGCAGCTCCTCACCACGTCAGACCGGACTTCACCTCCATTGAGGACACGGCGGTTGAAAACCTTAAGGATGCCACCTCAACCTTGCAAGCATTGAAGTCCCGTGGTGTGACTCGCTACGTCGACCTCAACAAGGCCAATAAGCAGGACCTCCTCGACGTTGAAGAGCACGAGGAAGAACTTTCCCTAGACGAAGGTCCTGAGCTGAAGCGACGCCGACTGGCGCACCAACCTGATGAAGAACAAGACATGGAGGAATACACTCCCTCCGAGCCATCGGAACCTCAAGGAGCTCCATCCTTCTCAGCACCTCAGATCGAGACAGATGAACCGATGACTGCTGCACTTCCTCCACTACCACGTCCAGAAGACTTACCAGCAGTTCCTGGCTCTCCTAGCGCACTGTCAAGATCTGATCAGCCTGAACCGTCGATAGAGCCTGAACCACCGACTGTGCCTCCAACTCCAGTTCACCTTGATCCGGTGACTTCCGAGGCCTATAAGGCACCAACAACTCCAGAGACGTTCCAACAGCAAAGGCTTCGACTGGACAAGCAGGAGACTCTTTCCTTTGGACCTCAACGACCCCGACATCATGTTGAACACACGCCGTATGACAAACCGGCAGCTGAATCCAGCGAGATGGTGTTCGAGGTCCAAGATCTAGACTCTGATAGCCTTCCGAAAGGGTGGACCTTCAACAAGAACAACCACACCCTTGAGCTCAAGCACAAACTGGCCGATTTCTGGGAGATCACTGGTGGATGCCTCATCCGTCATCATGTACGCCCACGGTCGAAGAAGTTCATGCCAAATGACATCACGGATCTACCAGTACCCTTGGAGAACTTGGATGACGTCCGGGTCACCGTCTTCCGTGAACCTGGTTGTGACTCGTCATCCACCACTGACCACTTCAAGACCGAGAATGTGTTCTCCAAGAACTCCAAAGAGATGCCCAAGCGACTTCCTGCCAAATGGATTGGCTGCACGATCTTCCAGATCAATGCCACCACACGAAAGGAACTGGGCATGACAGCCACTATGTCATCGAGCTCAACTTCGTCCCTGTGTCCCATTCGAAAGGCAGCTCAGCACGTAAAGACACAGCAGCTTCGCCACATGAAGAAGGAGAAGAACAAGACTGAGGTGAGAGAGAAAGCACTGGCCCAAGCCGAGCAACAACTTTTCTATGAAGCAAAGTGCAAGGAACTTCGAAGCTTCTTCGAATGTGGTGTCTGGGAGTTCTCTACCTCAGACAAGGCCGATGCCCAACGCACCTTGTCTAGCAGGATGCTTCTGAAGTGGGCCAAGAATCCTGACGGCACTCCTCGAGCCAAGGCCAGACTGGTTGTCCGCGGCTACAACGATGCCGATGCCCTCGCTGGAAACCTGGACACTCAATCTCCAACTGCATCCAGACTAGCTCGAAGCTTGTTGCTCTCCATCTCATCGATGCTCAAGTGGCATGGCTGGTCTGCAGACGTGGCGACAGCATTCTTACAGGGTATGCCTCAGACAAGACAGTTATGGCTTCGCCTGCCCAACGACTGCTTGGAAATCCTTGGCTGCGGACCGGAGACTCGCATGGCCCTGATTAAGCCCGTCTATGGTCAGCTAGATGCTCCCCGTCGATGGTGGCAAGAAGCAACAAGAAGGTTGACAAAAGAAGGTTGGATTCCTCATGAGTTGGACCCTTGTCTTTTTGCACTTCACCACACCTTGGAGGATGGCACGACAGTTCCATGTGGCCTCATCGCCTTGCAAGTCGATGACATGCTAGGAGCTGGAGATCGCAGTTGCCCGACATATGTTGCAGCTGAGCGCCGCCTGAAAGAAGTTTTTGAATTTCGAAGCTGGCAAGAAGACAGTGAAACCATGGAGTACTGCGGTGTTTTGCATGACCGCAAGGACTTTTGTTGGACATTGTCACAACGACACTTCATCCAGAAGGTCAAACCGGTCACCATCCACAGAGGCAGATCTCCAGAAGATCCCATGACGGAAGCTGACCGATCGCAACTCAGAGCTCTACTTGGCAGTTTGCAATGGCCATCTGTGCAGTCGCAACCTCATTTGCAAGCAAGTTGCAGCCTCATAAATCAGCAACGCTCTGGAAAGTTGAAGGCCATCATGGAGGCCAATGCTTTACTGAAGTTCGCAAAAGAACATGTGGATGTGTCGCTGAAGTACGAGCCATTTCAATCCATCAACAGTCAAGCTGATCTCATGAAGCTTCGCCTGGTGATCATGTTCGATGCATCTCATGCTGCCCGCGAAGACCACTCTTCGCAGGGAGGACACCTGGCAATCCTTGTGCCGGAAGAAGCCTTCCAGCAGGAGACTCCATACCATGTGGTGGATTGGCGCTCCTACAAACTTCCAAGAATAGCCCGCTCAAGCCTTAGTGCAGAGGCTCAGGCAGCTGGAGGTGCTAGCGATACTGCAGAATACATCTGCAGGTTTTGGTCCATCGTTTTCAACCCCTGGCAGAGGTTGAGAGACCGACTTCAAGAGGTCTCGCCTTTGACTCCGACGCTCGTCACAGATGCAAAAGCTCTTTATGATGCTTGGCACAAAGAGACAGCTACGTCAGCAAGTTCCTCAGTGGACAAACGCACTTACTTGGAGATCAAGGTCGCCAAGCAGCAAACCTCTGAACTCGGAGGATGCCTCAAATGGGTCAGCAGCGAAAGACAGTTCGCCGACGGCCTGACAAAAGGATCTACAAAAGGACTACTTGCTGATCGTTTGAGGCGGCACCAAATCAAACTGGCCTGGGATCCATCCTATACCTCGGCCAAGAAGAAAAGCAAGCAAGAAAGAGAAGAAAGCCGGCAGGAATTTGCCGAACCAAAGATGAAGAGGAAGCCCACGAGAAAACAACCACATCAACCAGAACAGTCACCTAACTTCACCCAACAACTAGAGAGTGTGCATGAGGAGCCCTATGAGATGGAAGAGATTGAGCAGCTTGAGAACCCCAACGAGAACCTCGACAGACCATGGCCCAGCTCTTCGAACTTGAAGACTCCTATGGCTATGCTGGTCTACTTCACTCAGATCAAGGCGGTCACGGCTGGGTTCTCGGGTGTCCACACGCCGCTGGAACCGGAAGAGATCTGTCTTCCAAACGATGACCCAACAGTTGAAGACTGGTCGATACTGACCTACATGTCCATCTTTGTCCTCCTCACCATCCTCATTGTGAGCTACCTGTCCTACAAGTTTGGAAGAATGGTTGAGAAAAGAAGACAGGTGAAAGATTTGGATGTGAAGCTGAGGGTGGCTCATGGTCGCAACCAAAGGCACTTTGATGCAGCCTTGGATGAGCAGAACCTTGCTCTCGACCGCCGCATGTCGCAGCTAGAGAATGACTTGGTGAAGGCCGCTGAAGAGCACGCCACCACTCGCAGCAACCACAACGAGATGATGGCTCAATGGCAAATTGAACAACAAGAAGCTGAAGAGATAGATCAAGCCTTCCAACAATGCCAAGCTCTCCTGTCGCGGTGCTTCCGCGAACTACAGGATCACATCGATGATGAATGTCCCATCGAGATGGGATGCTATGTGGCACCATTCGGCCACACATGGCACACGACTCGAGAATGTCATGGTTTGAAGCAAGCTCACCGAGTCGACCACCGTCCATGCTGCCACTTTTGCACACCAAACCCCCGTACACCCTTTCGGGTGAACAGCTTGAGCGGAACCACACTGTGGGAAGATATGCAATCTTGGAGGCGGCAGTGGGGCGCACGCTCCTACGAAGAATGGCTGGTGGACTAGCTGCCGAGTTTTTTATTTTACCCTTTTTCACCGGTGTGAGTTTGCCAAACTCAGACCACTTCATGCTGTGAAGTATATGTTTCATGAATGTGTAACCCTGTGGCCATCACGGCCCAATATGCCACTGAAGTGGCGGGATTCGATCGACGCAAGCCAATGGCGCTGCAAAAGAGTGCGTGACTTCGTGAGCAAGCACTTCAGGTTGTGAAACTTCGTTTGTTCACTTCCCCACTTGGTCCTTCTACCTCCGGTACCAGTGTCCAAGTGACAAATTCGATTATTATTATAATCAATTCCTATAATTATAATGGGATTCCTCGGATCCATTCTAAATTCTATTTCTTTGATCGTGGCACGGTGATGGCCTTTTTAAAGCGATCTTTATAATTCCCCAAAAAATTGAGAATCACGTTGTGCAGAAGCCATTTGGGTATGGCTGAGATGCAGGGTGTTCCAAGTTCTGACCTCTGAAACCACTTTCTGCAGGAATCAGCAATGCAGGGTCATGCACGGGTCACGACAACCTAACAAATCTCTTCTTCAACACGTGCTCCCCATTTTGCGATGATGGAATTTCATCTTTTTCGCTCATTGTTGAACGGATTTCGTCCAAGCAATGCTAGCGGTGAAATCCCTACTTGTGAAACATTTGCCAGCGGCCAGTCACATCTCCGGGGCAGGGATCATTTCCTCAACCCTGTCAAAGGTGTGAGCTCAAAAGACTGGTTCCAGAGTTGCAGAGGTTTCAGCTGAAAACTGCCTAACCTGCGCTGCGCTGCGGATGGTTTTGGTCGCGCGTCCCGAAGGCTTCCGCACCTCACATAGATGTCCGACACGAAGCCGCGATCCCCGTCTGAGACCTCCCAGGTGGTTGCAGCCTGACAGCAAGGGCGAAGCACGTGCGATTCACGCATTCACGCCTCAAGGGAAAATGGTAATTCTTTCAGTGCTCTGCTATGTACCTGCAACCTGTGGCCTGTATATCACAACAAGCAGGGCAGAGTTCCAATCTTGAGTCACGAGCACTGCTGGAATGCGCCACGCCACGCCGAGTGTTTATCCACGCCTGCCAGGGCATCCAGGCACTATCCTTGCAGCGGGCATCCACCACCAGCTCATCCATCAGGCGGAACTCCTGGTTTGTTTGAGTCGCCCTTATGAGTCCCTAAAGGCTGTCATCGTTGTTTTTGTCGAAGTGGTGTATCTATTTATCTTTCTTTCTTTCTTTCTATCTAGGTGCATCTACTGTAAATTTGGCATGTAGTAACAGCATGTGTTCAAAATGATCCTGGGTCATACAAGTTTCAGTGTGAAAAACAGGAGTTCCAGAAATTGTCTGGTTGTCTCTAGTTGCAGTTGGCTGATCAACAAGAGTGCAGTTTTGCAATATGTATGGGTCGCCAGCAATTCATCTGACTTCCTGCCTCCGTGATGACCCACTGCTCATTATCCTGCCAAGCCACACAAGACATACTGAGCTTCGAGAAAGACATGCATCATGACTCCAAGACTCATCAAGAATCACTGTCTCACAGTCCTCACCATACCAAAGCACATAGCGTGGAACATCGCCATCCATGCGGCCTTTCTTGCGCGCCTCCTGCCGAATCGAACGAGACGACCGTCGTTATAAGCGCTTTCCGCCGCGAGACGGTCTCGACCGTCCTTCGCGGAAGCTCTGGTCTGCAAGAAGTACCTCATGGAACTTCCACGTTGCCTCATGGAACTTCCTAGTGCTGTTGCAACAGCTCATGTTCTTCTTTCTCGACACCAACAAGAAAAAGAAATAGAAAGAAGCAGTATCTTCCAGCTCTCCATAGTCTGTTCGGCTCCCTCTCAACTCACATGTATCAAAATCCCGGAGCACGGTCTGGAGGCCAAAAGTCCACAGCGCTCGTAGACGCCCACGAAGGGATGGGACGCTTCGCGGCGGGCCCACACCTGCGCCTGAGTTGAGGAAACGCACCAGGGTGCATGGAGGCCATCGCTAGTAGGAGGAGGCCATCGCTAGTAGGTTGGAGGCCACTGCTTCTATTCTTTTCTTCCAAAAGTATATGTTTTACTTATAATGTTGAGGCTGTTTGATCGTCCAAATCGCTGAAACGTTGCCTGGTCAGGACAGTCAATCTCCACCACCATGCCGTTGGCCTTAGAGGATCGTACCCTGAATCGCAGCGATTCCAACGCACAGCAGCAACCAGCATACCATGGGGCGCCGACCTCACGGAACTGGCCACTCGGATCAGCCACCTGGACAGCAGTTCTAAGAGCATCCAAAAGAAATCACCAAAAAGCTACGAAAAACATTGAAACATGTGTCTCACATGAGAAAAGTCCTTCTTCCAAATTCAGGTACCAAGTGGTACCAGCAAGCAAACCCACTGGGATTGTATGGTGCTGCGGTCCAACGCCGAGTGGCAAGAACCACTTCAGCAGCGTCGACGAACCCTGGGTGTCGACGCCACGACGGACGCCTCCCAGTTGACGCGCGCTCCCCGCAGCAGAGCGGCTCCGCCATGCCAGGGTGGCATCGTCTGGCCATATTATGCGTCCGGGTGATCTAATCTGACACCGGTGACGCATCAAATCCAGGCATTTTGTACAATTGAATGTACGGTCACATATATATATATATATATATGTGTGTGTGTGTTTGTAATATATGTATATAGTATACATATATATATAGTATACACATATATATATATATATACATATAGGGGCAACCCTCCAACCAACAATTTCGATCGTCCTTTTACCGAGGGGTGCTTGGGAACCTCCTTAATTTAAAGGGCACACACCCACCTGAAAGCTGACCGCAGGTCAAAGTAGGTTAGGTTCTACCTGTTCAAAGCAGGCATGGAAGAATTCGTACAACTACCAATCTTACCTGGCAAAGCATTTGAGACAAAGAACCTTCAGAACCTACCACAATTTTACGAACACTCTGGGCAAACTTCTGGTAACAGTTTTCTGGTCAAATTGTCAGGCTGACCGCCCAGGGTGCTGAGCCCAATCCAGCCGCACAGGTGTTGCTACCGAGATGCGCCTGGCTGACAGAACTCCCAGGTGTCTACCGACTTGCAAAAGCCGCGGATCGCCCCAGGTCATGCACAAAGCTAGGGTGGCTACAAAACCGTAAGACGTTGGGTTGGCACTGCAGTCTTTGTACCGTTCACATTTGTCCACTCTTCTGCAAACACATCAAACTTGATCCCCCTAAATACCACGCGCCCTGCAGGGCGTCGAAACATGTCGAAACTATCGATTCTCGAGCCATACTGTTCACTCCAGTCAGCACATGCTCAGTTATAGTACGGAGCATCGAGCGACTAGGGTGAAAGGGTGAAGCACAAAACAGCTGCAATCAAGCGGACAAATCCGCTATAGTTTATGTATTTATAGAGAGAGAGTTTCTCCTGGTCTTCGTGTCTCTTATAACTTCCCGAACAAACCCCATGACATGCGCCTCCCAGGGCCACCAGGCTCTGGAGGGGATCCGCGCCAGGACTTCGCTGGAGTCACCCAGAAGCTCGGGTGCAGTGATGACCCACCTGGACAACCCTCCTATTCTGTGTAAACAACTAAAAACCTGGTGGGATAACGATTGGGAATCACCTGCTTGGACATCTGGACATCTGATGAGGGATCAGCTGTCTTTTTGTTTCATCTCCTCCAAGGTGGAGCACGCAACAGAAACCTCTGGTTGAACATTCCAGAGATAAACGACAAGAAACCAGCGCCATCCATGTTGCCCACCATCCTCCAAACCCGACGGTCAGTGACTCGCTTGACCAGTGATTCTTTGGTTTGTGCTCTTGGTTTGGTATGTTCAGAATCTGTCGTTCCAGGCTGAGCTTTCCCACTGACCACGATCCTGGCACTCCGTCGAAAGAACGGCAGTGATCAGTCGTTATCAGGGTGTTGAAAACAACCCCTCCAGGTCTTTCGATCACACCTTGTTCTAAGGGACACACCTCCGTGAAAAACCTGAGTGCCACAAAACATGGCGATCGTCTGCACCCCGAGCACGCAAATGATCCACCAAAATCTTGGAAACACTGTCAGCCTATGGCTGTGGGTCAAAACTAGGATACCTTGATAAACCTACCGGCGATACATATCCACTAAACACTAAGAACCTTAAACTATGACTGAGAGACGAAATGTACAAGTGAAACCGAATGTCCGTGCATAGAGCATCGAAAGCAGGGACCTTTACTGACGAATTACCGGCACCTGCACAAGCAAGTCCATACGTTTTAGGTACGCCTTGCAAATTTAAGCATCAAAGGGGGTTTGCACTGAAAATCAAGGACATATTGCATCAAAGTCTTATGCACTGCAGGCCAGTTTGGCACGAATGGGCGCAGTGGGAACCCCCCAGTATACGTCCATCCCCCACCTACCTGGAAGGTCCAGCGTGTTGAGGCTCAAGGTTTTGACCCATCCCCATATGAGGTTCCATTTTTGTGTCGATCGGTTCTGCCTCAATCACCTTCGCTCCACTCGCTCCGCGTGAGCCCAGCTCAGTCCAAACACCGCTGAACAGTAGTGTGAGGAGGTGTGCGACAGACTGACAGGTACAAGCAAGAACAGAACGCGCAAACCATAAACCGGAAGGTACAGTAAAGCATGAGTGTACAGGTGTTGGAAAGGTTTCAAGTGCACAAACCACATCCCTTTTGCTGATCTTGTTCCTCAAACAGGAAGAGTAACACCATCTACGAACTCAAGTAATTAAGCTGAGCAATATCTCACCCTTCTGAATGTGTTGGAAGAACTGCCAATGCCGCTCTCTTTTGCTCGCAGAACTCTTGGTCAACACATCGCTCGTCGCCTTTAAAAGGTGGGTTCGGAGAGTATACCTAACATATACCTCTTCCATCTTACCAGGAGCAGCTCATCCATTAGGGAAAAACACATTCTGTATATATAAATCAAAAGAAGCCCAGGACCCGCAGGAGATAAAACACTCAAACAAACTATAAGTCCTTTTTGTATTGATGCGGAATATCAAATGCCTGTGCTTCAAACCAATATGACAAAGTCCCTTCAGGGACTGGAGAAGTCGCAAGGTCTGCTTCACGACCTATTTCCTCAAGCAATAGCTGTTGTGGATGTGTTGGATTCTACATCTGTTGTCATTTCTGTTGCATTGTCTCAATACATGCGTTCATTCAGCTACAGTGGGAGGCTGTCACATCAGCGGCTAGGACAATGACTTCCTTGGACTTCAAGGCAATCAGCACAGGTCGTCTCCGTAAAATTGTTTTGACGGCTGCTTCAAACAAACAACATTCTCGGCTTCAAACAAACAATGTCAACAAATCAACAATTCTCCATGCGGATCAGTCGCTGGATAAAGGCGAAAATGCGCTCTTCCATGTACTCTCGGTCCTGCATCGGTCATGTGCTGGATTACCGATGCTTCTCTAAAACAATCAGGTCTCAGCCGAAGAAACCGACACCCCCAGTCCTTCTGACTTCGCGGCGAGTGTCTCTCCTTGGCCGGGTGAAACGCCGAGACAAATGCTGTCTCAATGTGCTTCAATTCCAAGGAAATGCTCAAAGGACAGGAGAGAAGCGTTACGCAATTGCAACAGGGGGTCGCAAATGTTGAAAGGAAAAGGACAAAGCTTTCAAAGCATCCAAGATACATCTATGCTAGTTTGAAATGAAATCTTCTAGAACCCTGCGCACAAAGGCGTCGTGAGTAGGGTTGAAGTGCTTGAATTCCAAGCATCATTGGGGAACAGCAGTAGTTGGTAAGGCTTTTGTGCGGCAATCAGCGCGTTGATGAGGCGGGCAGTGTGGCGGAAGTGGACGTTCCTGGCTGAAAGCTGCACGTCGAGTGAAGACAAACGATTGCCAACTGAAAGCTGAAATGCATCCAAATGCATCCAGGCATCTCATCAAGCAGACCATGTACAAGCAGCAAGTCGCCCTTCATGGTGCCGACCTTTACATCATGTCAACTGCTTCAAGGCTCTGTCAAACCTGGGCTCACCTACCTTCGGAACACACGGTCGACATGTCATGCTGGGTCTTGTTTCTCAGAATCGGGCATGTTCCATCACGGAACTGCTCTTGTAGCCTGTCAGTCTCACTCAGTGCTTTTGAGGCTGAGCATGGGACAATGCTGAAAGGATCGAACACAAAAACGAGGATATAAGTTTCCACATAGACCCTCGAACCGCATCGAACCTCCTCCTATTGCCTATCAAGTTGTCATCTTCAACTCGTGCTTCAATGTTCGAACTGTTTATTCCATGGCCTTTCTCGTTGCTCTTGGGGGTTCCCATGTACCGCTCGGTGTAGCAAGTGTCGTAGCCGTCCCAGCCTAGGAGACAATCACTGACAGTCTCCAAGAGTGGATAGACGAAAGGATCCAGGCACATCATTCGACAATGATGGTGGGTCACATCATTCCTAATTATTATCATTTGGATTTGTTTGGTTTGGTTTCGCTTGGCTTCTTTTGGTTTTGTGGTTGCGCTTGCGTTTGCTTTGTTGCTTGCTTGCTTGCTTGATTGTTTGATTTTCTTTGCTTGTTTGCTTGTTTGCTTGTGGCTTGCTTGCTTGCTTGTTTGTTTGTTTCGCTGTTCTAAGAGCTCCAAGCCCCAAGGACTCGGGCTGCAGGCAAAGCAGGGTGAATGAGGAGATGTGAGACAGACATGCAAAAGTAAAAGAAGAGGGCAAAACCAGATTCGAATTGAATATCACTATCATGTATTAGTATTATAATATATTATATTGTGTAGTTTGTACGTCTTTCCGTAGATGACTTCCATTTCAAGGGGGTGTCCAGCAGGCATCAAGCACATTGCCCTCCGGAAAAAACCACCAAATCCAGAGTTCCCGGCTGGTCACCGGTGCTCCGGCAACCGCACACTTGAAGACATCACTTCCCTGGCGTGTCTCAACAATCTGGGTCTGCAAGGTCTAAAATGGAACGATCTTCGAGCTCTGCAGGCCAAATTCAGACGCATCATCCGTGGAACTCCAGGCCGCAAGGTGCCACAATCTCTAAGTCTAAGGCCGGTCCAATTGAAACATGAATCTCTGCGCATGGAGGCCAGCGCTATGCTCGGTGGAGGCCATTGTTGTGCCACTCTCAGGTCGACCCATCAATCCCCACCTTGGCAAGACACATGGCGCTCAAGTACCCTCCATAGCTCCAACCATAGATGGCCTCGACTGAACTCAGTTCAAGAACGTGGAGGTCACAAGGAGAACATGTTCAATTTGTGGGACCACTCTATTATTGTGGCAGATTTGGCGGTTCATTTTCCGTCGCAACGCCAAACCCTGTGGTTCAGTCTCTGGATATAAGCAGTGAGTTTGAGAAAGATCCTCCAAGTGGAAATCCTCAAACCGTCAAAGCTCTTGGGTCTGGACCATGCAAATTAACATCGGCATCTACAATACACTATGAATGTATACATCTTACAAACTACGGGCCGGCCGGAGTTCTTAAGTCTTAGATGTTTTATCATGGTGTTGTTTTCGCTCACGCCGCCATTGGCGGCCTGTTTTGTTTGAGAGGTGTCTTACACTTACACAAATCCATGGTATACGTGCCACCTTTGTGTGCCTTCAGGGCAAGGAGAGCGTCCAACATTTCGGGATACCTTTCATTTGGTCTGCTCCTTGCTTCCGATTCTTCTTGTGACCCTCGTTGGTTGGGCAACCTTTTTGACGTGGCCACTTGTGCTTGGATGGGCATTGCTTGCTGTTGGGCCTTGCACATCGCTCTAGATCCTGCTCGGTTCTGGGGTTTCAGCGCACTTGCAGATTTCATGAATTATTGGAAAACTGTTGGGACAGAGTTTGGCTACACAGAAAATCCACTGGTCCCCTATAAAAGAAAAAACAAGAAAGATCTTCGACAGCTGAGCATGAATCTGCTTACTAGCCGATGGCAACATCGCGAGTTCCCCTTAAACATGTGAGCATTTGCCATGTGCCATGTGAGCATCGCAGCATTGCAATATGTTGGCATAGCACATGTGCTTACACACTTGCAAGCATGACAACCCCGCAACCAACAAGAAGTAGGGAACCTGCTTCGGAACCTGCGCTGGAGCCTGCCAGCATGTCTGCGTGACCCGATGTCAGCATCTCAGCGTGACAACGTGTGTGCCTGTTCGCAAGACCCGTGTCAGCATGCTAGCATGAGTGCATGTCAGCGTGAAAGCCTGACAACATGTCAGCGTGATGCAATGTCAGCCTGCAAGCGTGACAACATGTGAGTCAGCCGCATGACAGACGTTTTCAACATCACACCATGTCAGAGTCAGCATATCAAGGTCACAACACCTCGCCACCTTGGCATGAAAACATGTTAGCTTTTCAGCAAACACAGCACTTCACCACGGCAGCACGTTTACAAGTTGCGTGACAGAGTGACAACATACTAGAATCACGACATGACGGTGCACACCATACAGCATCGTAGCTTGACATCATGACAATATGTCTGCATAAAACATGCCAGCAATACACGCTCACAATGTCAGTGCATCATCGTATCTGCAAAAAGCTTACCCCAGCACTTGCTCACAAGCCTGCTCCAGAAGCTCCGGGACCTCATCCAGAACTTGCTCTGGAACCTCCTCGGGAACCTGCTCCCGAACTTGCTCCGGATCTGCTCTGGAGCCTGCTCTGCAACTTTCTTCGATCTGCTCCGAAGTTTTATTCTGGCTGAAGACCTCTAAGCTTCGCCGTGAGGGAAAAACATGCAAATAGGTCCCTGTGGAAAGCCAAAGGTTTCCATCAAATTGTTCACAAGTCGGCAGAAGGGTTGCAAAGTTGCCAAGAAGAATGAGATATTATATAAATGAGATCAATTTCAGAATGCCAGAGAGGCGTGAACAATAGTGCAAAAAGGACAACTACGTATATACTCAAAATGTCAAACAAACAACAACATTTAGTACGTAACCTTGGCCATCCCAGTCTGTGGTCCAGAAAATATCATAATTAATCTTAGCCATTCTGACCCACATTTGGGGCATCTTCTCTCAAGCAGATCTTGGGAAACCAAATAAAAAACAACTAACCTTCTATGTTAGAGTGAGGGTATCGATCTTGTACTTCTCTTTCCCTGCGAAAACCAAGCGCAGCTTGTTTCGCTGAGGTGCCACCCGTTTGGGGTCAGCCAGGCCCTGCTTCGTGCACCACCGCACAGCCGCGGCCTGGTCCGTTTGAAACGAAGGGCTGGAAGAATCAAGCATACTAGTAGCTGATGGTTGCTACTAGTAGCGGCCAAGAAAACACCTACTTGCGATGGCCACCGAGCATCGCGTCCAAGAAAACGTCTATTAAATTAACTAATAGCTTCTTGTTACTACTAGTAAGGCACTTGTTACTAGAAGCTTATTGTTTCTAATTTCTTGTTACTCCTAGTAAGGCACTTGTTCCTAGTAGCGATGCACTTGTTCCTAATAGCGATTCCAATTGTTGAATGTTGGTCAAACTTTTTCAGTGGAGTCCCGGAGGGCGGTTTTCTTCAATATTGAGGAGTCATCTTGCTTCAGGGCGCTGAGAGAAAAGTGGGCTCAGACTCCACCG